ACTTTCACTCATATTTCTGTGACGTTTTTACTTTGGTTTAAATCCTGTTAAAGAAAAATTAATGAGAAAGTCAAAAACAATCAGTAACTCAATAAAGTCAAAGTTAGATTTTAATAAAGTCTTTTGGATTTTCTAGTTAGATGTTTTTTTTTTACAACGATAAAATAGTTGTTGTTTTACAGTAAGACAAAAAAATTGATTTTATATAAAAATACAAAGAAATGTTTTTGTCAGACATTGTTAAATATGGGAACAATGTGACTGAGGATGTGATCTTAAAGGGTTAAAAGCCATTTTTAACCCATTTAGCAGCATCTATTGGCAGAATAGAATAAACCACATACAACTGAGATTTTTGCCAATTAGTAGTCAATAAATCCATTGATTTACTATATTTTACCCATATAGCACACCAATATGTGTATATAATTACATTAATATGTTTTTTTTTAAATAGTTAATATTTGAGGATCAGTGTGAACAGCTGTTACCTGCCTTGTTGACATATTTAAGGCTGACGTTATCTTGGTTAAAGATAAGTTAAAGTTAAAGAAGAAGTTGCTGTCATTTAGTATTTTGAATTATATTTTTGTTGTTCTTAAACACAATCACATCCTGATGCTTATTTGATATATTTTGATATATATTTTTTACATAACCCACTTTATGCTTTAATACACGTTCATTTGATTCAGATGTGTCTGATTCTTTTAACATCTTAACATTTAAAAGTGTCTGTTGGGCTGCAACTCTACAGCGCTGCTAGCAGAGTAAGCTTCCACGAAAATCCAAATAAAATAATTTCTAACAAAGACATTTTATTGAAACCAATGAGGTAGAAAGTACAATGTTATTTTGAAGGTGCTGTGTTCATTACACCTACAATAGTGTCCAGGAATCCAGATCCAGGACAGAATCCAGATCCATATGTCCTTAATCTGGTTCTACCATTCAGTGATTGAGTAATCAGGTTCAGGGTTTCCCCCAGAAAAGCTTTTAGGTCCGGCAGCTCGGCTGTACTGTCGACCCGAACGTTGACTCAGTGGAGACGCTATCACCTCCCATTTTTTTAAAGTTTTTTTTGGCTTTTATCTTTAATCTTTATCCTGAAATGTCACAAAGGAAATACATTTGTATGCTAAATATTTACAGCAAACTTAGTTACGAATAGTTACGTTTATATTGTAAATTGAACAAAAATAAAGTATGAAAAACATTATTGCATTATTGTGCAAAAGTTACGACACTCAGAGTTCTGCAGTCTCAGACCTTAATCAGCTCTTTGGGGCCTGAGGCTGAAACATCAGCTGATCCCAGTTTCTGCTTTACAATAAAACCTAAATACTCTACAATAATTCTTTAATCATTAGCCAGCTATTTACATCTGATAGCTAATGTCATCCAAACACTAACCAGCTAAATAATTGTTAGCCTGCTAGCTAACTAGCTAGCTAAGTATTGATAGGGACTACTGAGGAGAATCAACACCTCTGACTTTCAGTGTTTTTGTGATCTCAATGTTTCTCCATCAGCTGATCAATCGATCAATCGATCAGCTCCCACTGGGTGTCACTGATCAGTCTGTAATTGAGTCTCCGGTAGTTTTCTGGGTGAACTCGTCGCTGTCGCCACACCTCCTCGTAGAGACTGCGTACAACCGGCGGCAGCGGCGGGAAGCCAGCGGTACGAGCCAGCGTCCGACAGTACTCCCACTGATCCTGGTCCATTATCAGCAGGTGGTGCTGCTGGACTCCTCTCTCCATCTTCTCCTGCAGCTCTCCCTGGACCTCTTCCTCCATCTGGGCTAGAGACGGCAAAGTGACGGAGCCGTCCAACACTGCCAACGCAAACTGGACCTGAGGACACGAGACTGGATTTAAGAAAAACCAAACCTTGTTCATCTGCCTGTAAAACTTAATGAGTCCTGGACCTGGAGTTCCCTCCCCCCCATCTGCAGACTCACCTGGCAGTTGAAGTTGGGGAAGGGGCAGATGATCTTGCAGATGCCAATGAAGAAGAGCGTGGGGAAGGCCGGGGGCATCATGAAGCGGTACAGTGGAGACACCAAATGGTCCTGGATCTCCAGACCCAGCTGAGCCGCGTCCAGGAACGGGTAACTGAAGTTGTACCCGGTGCAGAACATCAGGACATCAGCCGCGCCCACGGATCCGTCCTGGAACGGGTAGTTTTCATTTTAACCCCTGAGTTTTATTTGTATTTACAGAAAGTAGGTGATCCAACACGTCAGGCTTCAGGCTGACTAACCGCCGGCTGGATTCACTTGAACCTTAAAAGTTAATTAGTCACCTGGAAGCGAATGCTGCCATCCTCCTCAACCGCCACAACTGAACTGGACTGCTGAATCCCAGAAGGGAGAGGAAATGTTAAACGAGGGCGACTGTGACTCAGAGTAACCTTGAGAGAGAGAGAGAGAGAGAGAGAGAGAGTGTGAGAGAGAGAGAGAGAGTAGGAGAGGAAGAGAGAGAAGAGTGAGAGAGAGAGAAGAGACGAGAGAGAGAGAGAGAGAGAGAAGACAGAGAGAGAGAGAGAGAGAGAGAGAGAGAGAGAGAGAGAGAGGTACCGGTAAGCTTAGACTCAGCTGAGAATAGTAGTTATGAGGTTGGGCAATGGTTCGTAACGTATGACACATTTTAGTTGGTGACATTTTAACGGCTACACATTTTCAAACGCAGCTGTGAAGGAACATTTTAAGTTGTTACACATCAGGTAGAGCTGCGGTGTGTTGTTTGTTACCTGGGCACCAACTTTGGACAGTTCGATGGAAATGTCCAACCCTGAAGCTTTGGCTCCCAGAACCACCACAGACTGACCTGAGAACGGCTCTGCACACCTGTACGCATGACTGTGGAGCAGCTTTCCTACGTGGAGAGAGGACGGACATCAGTTTGACCTCGAGGGCAGCGGTAGGAACACAACACCTTCTGTCCAATTAACAGGTTGTATCTTAGCTAAGCTAGGATAAACCTGATGGTTCAAATGTTAATGTTACTATCTGCAATGTTCCTATATTTTATTTGGACTGTTTTTGTCAGTTCAATAAAGTCCTACATGTTAATGTGGACTGTACCTTTAAAGTTCTCTATCCCTGGAATATCTGGGATGTGTGGGTCCGAGTAGTGTCTTAAAAACAAACAAAAGCAGCACGTTGCAGCGACTTGAATAACACATTTCATTTTATTGTGAAAATCCAGATACGATAACAGGAGAGGTAACATAAAAACTTTTACCCGAGCAGACAAAGACCGAGTCGGAAGTCTCCTTCGACCAATGATGACGAATCGGATGACGTCACTTCCCACGTTGTCCTCCCCTCCTCGCCATCCGTTGCCACGACAACGGGCTTCACGTTCTCCACCACTGTGTTGAACTGACACACACAGACAAAAAACTGTTTCAGCTTCAATATTCAGCCAGATATTCCACCCTTGAGAAGGAAGTTAGGTGAGGAGCAGCAGGACGACTCACCCTGATGTGAGGCCGGATGTCGTGGCTCTGGCAGTACTCCTCCAGGTACCTCTGGACCTCCTGATGGGGCAGGAAGCTGCTCAGCTGGGGGTCAAAGGGGAAGTCGGGGAACATCATCACCTCCTTGGGCAGGTTGGTCCTGTCGGGAGGAGGTCAGGAAGTTTATATAGCATTTCATTTTGATGTATTAATGTTACCTACAGTTACATTGAGGTTACATACAGGAGCTGTAAGAACGGGTCTGTTTGTACCGGCGGTCCAACAGCACCGATCAACCAGAGGGAACCTTTAAGTACAATCACACCTGAGGTCTCGGTACATGCTGCTGTGAATCGGCCGCCCGTTGTCGTACGTCCCCACGCGTTCATCGTAACACCAGGTGCCGCCGACGTTCTCGGTGAGCTCGAACACCACCGGGGGGGCGAAGCTGTTCCGGCGGGACAGGATGTGTCTGGCTGCACAGAGTCCCGCCGCCCCGGCACCGACCACCGCCACCCGCGGCAGCATCATCCACATCCTGAGAGAGAGAGAGAGAGA